TTCCTCGTAGGATTACATGGTTTTCTTTATTTTGGTAAATTCGTAGGATTACATGGTGGTACTTGTATTCTCCAACTTTCCCGTATGCTTCCATGGTGGTACTGATATTCCAATATTAGAACTCGTTTCTCTGGCGTCTGTGAAAACTCCATGGAATAAAGAGAGAAATGGCAGATTGCAATGACCATGGACAGAATAAGAGAATCGAAAAAAAAAAAAAAATTTCTCTAAGCAACTACCGTCTTTCAAGATAAATTTTAAATAAAAATTTTGAAACTAACATTTAAAAAAATTAAATCACCAGGTCATAAATATTAAAAGCAAAAAAGTCATCTATTCAACATTTTTGTTATTGTACAAATGGATTCTTGATAAAATTAAAAGTTAACAAGAATTTTATAAGGTAAAATGTGCATATTCCATTTAAATTGTCTTGTTAAAGTAAATGATTATTTCAATAAAATTTTCACATAATTTGCCATTTCAATTTCCTTTTTCAAGAAATTAACCTAAATTTAACCATTATTTTTAATTATTTTTATTAATTTTTAAGAGTAATAATTTAACTAAATTTAATAATAATCATTAAATTTAACTAATTTCTTAAAAATGAAAATTTAAAATAACAAATTATGTCAACATTTTTTTTTTTTTGTGATAATTAACTTCAACATGACAATTTTGGAGAACAATTAGTCCATTTGAATTTTGAACACTTTATAACCTAAATTTAAACTTTAAAAAAAAAAATTGTCTTTATTGAAATCCTTCCTATATTTGCCCTCTTAACAAGAAAGTTTAGGAGGAAGGAGGTTCTGCTAGTCCAAGGCGTGAACATGGCACTAGTCCTAGAGTCTTATGTAAGAGTATCTACAGGTTGCCTAATCACAAAGGAATACTAAAATAACAATAAAATAAAAGTTATTAGAGATACCAACAATTTAAATAATTTAATAATAATTTTTTTTACTAAAAATAAAAAATTTTAAATTCAAATCGCATAATATACAAGTGAAGTGAAATAAAAAAATAAAAAAATAATCTTTCATTGTGTTACCAACATAATAATAATAATAATAAAAGTCATTAGAGGTAGACATTCCTATGGTATGGTACATTTGTAGATAGAACATTTTTTCCTTTAATTTTGTCTTTTATTCTTCTTTCAGAACAGGTATTCCTACCTAATTTTGACGCAGCTCGACACTAGAAACATGCATTCCTGTCTGCTCGAATCTAAAATAAGAAGATTGCATTGCCGCATTGGCCAAAAGATCTCGGTGCATTACAGACTCGATTATGCACCAATTCGGGATGGGATGGGAACCCACTATACTCCAATATTAGGCGATTAGAATATATTGAGATGCTGGTGATGATGCTTTGAGATTGCATTTCAGTTCTATATTCCTCGTAGGATTACATTGTTTTTTTTTTTATTTTGGTAAATTCGTAGGATTACATGGTGGTACTTGTATTCTCCAACTTTCCCGTATGCTTCCATGGTGGTACTTATATATTCCAATATTAGAACTCGGTTCTCTGGCGTCTGTGAAAATTCTGTGGAATAAAGAGAGAAATGGCAGATTGCAATGACCATGGACAGAATAAGAGAATCGAAAAAAAAAAATTCTCTAAGCAACTACCGTCTTTCAAGATAAATTTTAAATTAAAATTTTGAAACTAACATTTAAAAAAATTAAATCACCAGGTCATAAATATTAAAAGCAAAAAAGTCATCTACTCAA